TTATTAATAAACTGCACATGAATGGAAGAACAGAAAATTCTTGACAGTGAAAGCAAATATATGTTGTTTAATAAATTGTATATTAGGTTCATATGGGCAGTACATTCTAATTTGAAGCTTCCGTTAGTATTTAAAACATCTTTACAAAGAGGGAGAGACTGATTGTCCCAGTTTGTAACTGATTGGTTAGGTAATGGCAAAATAGTGCAACTATTACATAGGTGCTAAAATGAGTAGTCTAGTCATACAAAACTTAAGGGTTGTAATGATGATTTGAATTGCTGTAGCATATTGCTAAGATAAGTCTGTGATTATCTATATTCTAGTTGAATTATTGCTGTTGTGGCACAGGGTTTCACTGCAGAACATCTAGAAGGATTGTAAAAAAGAATCTTCAGAATATCTGATTAGATTGAAGCATGTCATTTACCTTCAGGCACTACAACAGTCTGTAGTTTCACTTGTGGAGTTTCACATACAAATGTGTGCACCATGTGTTTTCTGTTTTATTGAGAATAAATTCTTTTGCACATGGAAAAATATTTCCTGCTTATTTGAACTGCTAGAATGAAATTCTTGCAGAATCTGTAATGATGGGGGTCTGCCTCTATTCTACAAGCATTAAGTTCTAGTTTAAGGTAGAACATTGTCTTCGCATTTGTTATTTATCTACCTGATGCACAACATAAGCACATTAATTAGACGTATCTGTATTCCCATACACTGATATTTTTGGAACACAAGTGAAGTGAATTTTGTCTGACTTTTACATCTCCAGGAGGAATTTGTCCACTTCATGAAACCACTATAAAATTCAACTCTCTATTCTGGAGAAAATCCAGGGTGGAATAGCAGTGGGTTTAGAAAAATATGAGTTTAGGGATCAAGACTGAAGCAGGGGCCTTGGTTTATGTCTTAGTGGCAGCACTACATGATGTTTTAGGCTGAGGTACCTAAAGGTGCTGGAGGGACCTATCTCATAAATATGGCTGAGTTGTGTGGGCACTGCCTGTTTGTATGTATAGCTGCAGCTTTTCATTTTAAAAATCAGATTCTTAGGGCAAATTGATGACTTATCACTAGAGTAAGAGAAGATGCACTTATACATCCTTGCTTGAGAATGTGACCCAGACTGCTCCATGGAAACAAAAGAGAGAAGAAGCAGTGTTATTTTTTGCCTTAAAATATATTCTGGATGCTTGAAATGGAAACGTGTGTGTATGCATTTCTCAGCCGTTTATCTCTGGGTAAGGCTTTTCAGTGGAACTGCATACACTTCCTCCTCCGTTGCCCTGTAAGAGACCAAGTCTGGTACCTGTCTGTGAGCTCTTCCTTGCCACTGCTGCCCAGAACCTGCTCAGATGATGCCTTGACCTTGTTTACCAGCTTTGGCTATTTAAGATGACAGCCACTTCAGTCTGAATGCCAGGAATCCCTCTAACGCAGTAGGCCTCCCGTTCTAAATTTACTCTCCTTATGTTTTATGGTCCCTCCTCTGTGGCTGCAGCGAGAGGCCCCCTTTTTATGACTTGCCCCTCCTGCCCCCCTTCACTCCCCCCTTCCTTGCTCCCTCCCTCCCCCAGATGGTAACCCTTTGTGTGTGTCACCTGTTGGAAAGGAGCGCTCGGTGGGTGTCAGGGAGGTTGGCTGCCACAATGTGCTTTTTTCTTGCCACTAGGTAAGATGAAATTCGAATCAAATTCTGTCATTCAAATGGGGTTAAAAGGCTGTCCTTGGAGCTTTGCAATGTTGGTGTCCCAAGATGCTGATACGGGCCTCAGACTGAAGTGCTCGCCGGAGACTAGTGCTGCTTTTCTTTTGAAGCAGGTTAACAATTTTTGCAGTTGCTTTGGAACCTTTGTGGCATCTCGTTAACCACCAATAATTGTCGTAGTCAAATGCCTAATAACAATAGTTATTACTTTGTTGAGGTTTTGTTTCTGTATACAAAAAAAAGCATAAAAGGGACATACACAGGAAGGCAAATAGAACTTCTTCACTTTGCACTGGGGAAAACTCGGAAACACATCAGTTAATGTAAACAAAAAAAAAATCAAACTAGTGATTTTTCTTCTGCATATGGCAGCTGAACAGTATTAGTGGTGTGTGCATGTGTGTGCAAGCTTTGGGGGCCACAAAAGCCAGCCTTAGCACAACTGACATTTTGAGGACACTCCAGGGTACCTAAAGTTAGACTTTTGCTCTGTATTGTCCTTAAAGCAACTTTACTGTCACTCTCTTCCCCCCCCCCACATATACAGAAGCTGAGACAGATTTTTTGTCTTTTATTGGAATATATGCTCCTAACTCACTTGGGCGTTTTCAGAGTATTAGACAGGAAAGACACGTTAACTGGAAGTGTAAAAACTTTTAAAGAAAAATATGGCTTCCTGGAAACCTATATTAAAAGCTGATCAGAATTTTCTCTAATGCCTCATTTTTTTAATTTATGACATTATTTCTTCCTTCAAATGGTCACTGTTACCTTAGAATACAAGCATGTTATGTACCTGAAAGTCAGTGTAACTTTGAAGGTACTAGTTATTTTTCGGTGAGAGAAAACATGACTGTGCTTATTAAGTTGCTTTGGCTTAACAATGGCAGAATGTAGCCTTTTAAAGTAGCATCTCATGAATAGTATTTATTAGCATGGCCAATATTTTTCTTCGTGCTAACCTACATGCTGCTCTTTTTCAAATAACTAATTTACTAGAAAATTTACTTCAGTAAATTACTAAAGTTCTAAATAATAATCTTTAATTTCTTTCCCTTATATGGCTTCTTTGCTTGGTGGTTACATAGTACACTGGGGAAGGCTGCTGCAGGAGAAAACTGCCACTGCTAAGTGCTGGCTGGGATTTTATACCCCCACATATACAGAAGCTGAGACAGATTTTTTGTCTTTTATTGGAATATATGCTCCTAACTCACTTGGGCGTTTTCAGAGTATTAGACAGGAAAGACACGTTAACTGGAAGTGTAAAAACTTTTAAAGAAAAATATGGCTTCCTGGAAACCTATATTAAAAGCTGATCAGAATTTTCTCTAATGCCTCATTTTTTTAATTTATGACATTATTTCTTCCTTCAAATGGTCACTGTTACCTTAGAATACAAGCATGTTATGTACCTGAAAGTCAGTGTAACTTTGAAGGTACTAGTTATTTTTCGGTGAGAGAAAACATGACTGTGCTTATTAAGTTGCTTTGGCTTAACAATGGCAGAATGTAGCCTTTTAAAGTAGCATCTCATGAATAGTATTTATTAGCATGGCCAATATTTTTCTTCGTGCTAACCTACATGCTGCTCTTTTTCAAATAACTAATTTACTAGAAAATTTACTTCAGTAAATTACTAAAGTTCTAAATAATAATCTTTAATTTCTTTCCCTTATATGGCTTCTTTGCTTGGTGGTTACATAGTACACTGGGGAAGGCTGCTGCAGGAGAAAACTGCCACTGCTAAGTGCTGGCTGGGATTTTATAATGTGACTCAACTTGCCAGCGTTGCAGTGCTGCTTTCTCTCCCATTTTGTCACATACAAACATACTCTGAAAACCATTTACAGAGTAGCTTCTGTTCAGAATTCTGACTACATAGCTTTGCTGTGGAGTCTCTGGATGTAAGCTGATTGCCTGCACAGGGCAGGAAAATAGTGTTAAAGGCATTTTAAGCAGTTCTGAGTGGTGGTGAATTATCAGTTGTAGTTTCTTACCCTTGTGCTGAAGAATCAGATGCTGATCACTGCCAGGAGGATGGTGGGACTGTGGGTCAGTAGTCTGACCTGGTACTGCAAATCCCATGCTCCTACTTTTACAAGCAAAGATGTAATTTTCGATGAGGCACTTTTATGATTCATAGTTTCTGAATCTCAATATAGGCAGTTCTTGCAATAGCCCTTGTAAGACTGTTGATTGTCTCAGCCCATTACTTTGCACTTGTCAGTGCAGTTATTTCACATTAAACTTGGGTCACAGGAGCTGCCATGTAAGAGCAAACCATGATGAAAAACAGAGGATTCAGAGCTAAGATTCCAACTATATAGCAGTGTGGTAGATGATTTTGTCCTCAGTTTGGGGCTTACAAGAGTTGCAGGTGTAGTTTGTTGATAGAGAGCCCCTTTAGTTGAAACTGTTTCCTTCCTATGGTAGAAGACTGGCAGGATACCATTTGGACTGCTAACCTGTTTCTTCTGATGTTCTTTATTGTGAGCTGGTGATGAGCCACTAATCAGTCTGGTTTGTTATATCAAGAAGGAAGTTGTTTGGTTCCTCACAAGTACTGGGTTTGATGTTGCATTTAAATGGAAGGTCTATCAGATGCACACAAATTTTGTTTGCATGCAATTAACAAATATCTTACATGAATACCCTTCAGCATTGAGTCACATAGATTAAAATATATGTTGCATAAAAGATTATGGTTACTATTTTGGAAATTCCTATATTTAGGTACGTTATTACCTAATATATAAGTAAATATTTTAATGAATTTAAAAAAAATTATTGATATGAAACTACCCAAGTGAAGTTAGTAAAAAAGAGAAGGAGAAAACTAATTATATGCAACAGATCATGGGCTGCCCCATAAAAGGGCAGTCTTCCAAGAAAGAGTGGAAGTTTTGAAATTCTCCTGTTACATTTTTAGACAGTAGTAAAACTCAGGCTGTGTTTTGAAGAAGATTTTTTGCTCTTCCAGCTTTAAAGCAATTTACTTACACCTAGAGAAATTTGATATTGTGCTTGTTGAATTCAAATGAGGCAAATGTGATTTGATGTTGTAATGGTTCTACTTTGTAAAATTGTATGTCAAGAGGTAAATAACATATAGCTAGGGTTTTATGAGCCTTACTGTTTTAGAGTAGGATTGTACAACAGGCTCTAAGGGGAGCGTAAGGGTCTAGATACACCAAGCAGCTGCTGGGGAAACTGTAATTTTAGAACTCATGCTCCTTAGTTAATTTAAAAAGTAAAAATGTCTTGTGTTTTATTTTAACTACAGGTTGCCTTTACTTGGTAGATACGTTAGTAGGAGATCCAGAGGTTCTGCAAGTAGATGCTGAAAAATACTATGAAAAACTCTTGAAGACATCATCATCCACTCCTGATGTTTTTTCGATCCCTGGACGAGAAGAGGTATTAGGCTGGTATTTCTCATACTGCAAGTTAGGTAGTTGCAAGCTAGTTTGTTGGTTGTGCTCATAGTCTGTCAATGAATAGGGGTAAGCTGGTGTGGCTGGATTACAAATCTCTTAAAATCAGGAAATTCTGCATTATTTCAAATAGTTTGCATGCTGCAAATGAGAGATAAGCTTAAACTGCAGCTCTAAAACCCTCTGAGGGTGGATGAGTTTGTTGTACTCAGCTGAACTTTTGCATCTTAACCTGCCTCTTTATAGGAGTGAATAAAAAGTTAATTTGATCGATATTTATACCACAACACAGGCCTCTTCTGTCTCTACTGTGTAGTTTACACAGGTGGTGTGATGCAGTCTATATTGTCTCCATTCTTTCCAATATTTATATTGATAATTTTGGATATGGGTTCTCCCAAAGGAATTCTGATCAGATGTGATTGATAGATGGTATAAATACTGTAGGTGCCAACACTTTAGGGTCCATTCTTGAGCCACCTGGAGGGAACACATTGGAGGTGACTGAGCAGGACTTCAGACAACCAATGAAACCTTGCATTCTGGCCATTAATAGATTATAAAAGCTGTGCTGGGCAAACTGTTATTGTACTATCAAACCAGTAAGTGGTTTAGTTGGAATAAATACTTGGAATACGATGGCTTTTCTATCATTTAGGAAATTAATATGCAGTATTTTCCAGAAAAATGCTGTTTCAGGTGGGTAGCTTCCTCTTTGAACCGTGAATGTAACTAGCTTTAAATATTCTTTTAATGCCCTCTAGTGGACCATGTAGGGTTAAATACAAACAAACCTGAAAATGCCCTCAGTTTAGGGCTTCTGTGCCCTTACCTCAGCCTTTCATGCCTGTTTGTACTTTTAGAGGCTCATTTGCTGTTCCATTAGAAGGGAGGGTAAGTTAAAACCCCAAGCAGCGCTGTGTGTATTCATGCAGTAGCTAGGCAGAAGATGGACTTCTGGCTTTTGATTCAGAACTGTCTCAATTTTGTGGCTTGTCATCAGACCTTAAATATATCACATGACTGATTTGAGTCTCATAGCAACACATTTCTCTTTGCATTAATTTAATTCAGGTCTAATCTAATCTGCACTCAGACAGCTAGTCAAGGGCATAAGTAATGGTAATGTTCTTGCTAGATTGTTATTTTCCTTAAACTACCTAATAAAGAAGGTTGATATTTTGTAATTAAAAATAAATTAAATGCAATAAGGTAAATTTCCCATCCCCAGTGAATATCAGAGCTAACAATCTCTATTACATACCTAAAACCTGAAGGATGAGGATTTTGGTGTTTGAGTAACAGCTGCAGTAACCAGGGTTGGTTTTGTTGCTTTTTTTGATCTGTACATCTGAATCAAAGCAGGTTTTTAGGACTGGCAACCATGAATAATGATTTAGCAAGTGTTAAGTTGCTGTCAGCCCACTTGCTCTGGTCACAGGACTTCTTTTTGGTATGTCATGGTCTTTGGTCAAGCATTCAGGACACAAATAGCAAGGATTATTGAAAGCCAGGAGGGAAGCGTGTTGGCAGCATCCGCACATGGAGAGCTATGCTGGGCTCATGCTGATGTTCTTAGCACCTGTGAATGTGCATGTCACCTTATAAAACAAAATAACAACCATAGCATAGCGTGTAGTACTGACCTTTTCATTACAGTGGTGTTCCCAAGTGCCATCATGACATTGGTGCTGTTATATTTGAAGCATGCAAAGAACAACTGGATCCCCAGAACACACTGAGATTTTCAGGAAGCTTATGAGTACAGATTTCAGGCAGTTTTCTTTTTTTTTTTTTTTTTTCCTGGAGGCCAGTGTTTGCACAGATGATGCCAGGATTCTGGCACTCATAAACTAGTGAACACTAGTTTCAGCTTGAAGTTGTTATCTTGAATAATCCATATTCATACTACTCCTTCCGTGCACCAAGAAATATTAAATGTATTACAGGACTGATTTGAGTTTCAGAGCAAACTGACAAATGGGTGCAATTAGAGAGAGAGGCACACCCACACATACACAATGGACCAGATTTTTGAAAGTACAGTACATACTGTGCTAAATTATGCATGCTCTTTGCCTGTACCTAAACTTACATGAGAGCATTTGCAATATTCATATGGAAATCGTCATCTCTATGCATATAGAGCTGTTTGAGCACAGTAATTTTGTGTTTATGTGTCACATCATTTAGAAGTTTAGTCTAAGACTGGGCTCTTGAGAACTATATTTTGATTTTGGCTTAGCCTGCAACATAACCACCTTGTGCCAATTATCTACCCGCCCAGTGCCTCACAGATAAACTGCCCAGGCACCGCCCTAGTGCTTTGATACTCCCTGTACCCTGAGGCTTAATTCATTGTTTGCAAAACACCACAAGCACTCAGCTGGACGATGCTGGAAGAAGTGCAAGTTGTATTTGTTTTTATTTTATGTGTCTGGTCTTTGGTAACACCATTTGTCTGCATGTAACAGTGGTCGAAGTCAGGTTATGTACTGTAATTGTAGTAAGTTGGCATTAAGATCTTCACTACCTTTGATTTCTTTAAATTAACATTACTTATTAATGATATTTGAATATTATATATGTTTCAGTGCCTTGAAATTCAGGATCGAGAGGATGTTGTGTTAAGCTTGTCCCATGCATGTTAGTAAAACATATCATAAGTGCATCTAATACATGAAATATTTCTCAGGAGCTTTGCAGTACCAACAGCTACAGGGCTTGTTTGTTTTTTAGGTTAAACTTGAAGATTCCTGTGTGTGTTTTGTCCCTCTCTACCGAAATAATCCTACTTCCAAAATGTTGCTGTTAACTGATCCAAAGGATAAAGAGACAGGTTAGAATTGGTCAAAATATTTTGCAATTTTAGTAGTTGTACTTTCTTTACTTTAAAGATGGTCTGCTGGTTTATATATTTAAATATTTGTGGGTTTGCTTTGAATATGAAGTGTATTCTGTTTACCTGTCAGGGATTTGTTTTGGTGGGCTACTGATTAGAAGGGAAGTTTGACAATCAGGGCTTTTAAATTCTCTGTATAGCTCTGCTGAAAAATCACATTGGTAAATCTGTTACTTTTTCTGAGTGTGTTCAATGGGGTAATATTTTTCAAACTTTTGATGATATGAAATTTAATGCATTATCATTTGGACAGAATTCTGAAATTCTTAAAGAAGAGCAAATATATATGTGAAATTGTAATAGTTCTTAGTGATTCTTATTAATTTTATTTTTACTTTATTATAGCTTCTTTAGTCCTAGGTTTAATTGCCTCCTATTTCCAGTACTGGTGTGTGTGAGAGGTGAACTTAGAGTGAGGCCATGCTCAGGAATTGAGTTAAATCTATTTTATTTGGCATTTCTCCCAGGATACTCTTTAAACTCTATCACCTTTGCTTTCCTTATTGCTAGTAATGCTGGTGTTTTCCTATTACAGCCATGTGTCAGCCTGACAAGGATGCACTACAATTGTGTTACAGGCAGTAGAAGTCAGCATGTTCTGTGTTTTTTTAATGAGTCACTGCTTAGAGTATCAACAGGTTATTAATATTTAATCAGTAATTGTATCTAAGTTTTATCCTTCTTGTATCAGGATTGCAGTATCTTCAGACAGCCTGATTTCTTTGTACTTACTCTCTTAGGCAAGTGTCTTTAACTATGGTATGTGAAAAAATGCAAATGTAAAGTAAGTAGCACCACTTGGTACCACTGTCATTAACAGGATACTTGGCTCCAAGCTGCATAGTATCAAAGGCCCAGGTTGTGACCCACCTACATGAAACCAGGAGTGTTGGAGCTGTTGTGAGACAATGGGTGATAGAATTTTTTTAACATCTATAAAAAAGAGAGGAACCTGTGCATAGACCCACTGTGTCACTTAGGGAATACAGAACAAATGAAAACTTAAACTTTCAGCTTCCAAATGTGGCAGCAAAGTAATTACTTCTTTCATTAAAAACATACTGGTTTTTGTTTTTCTAAGGGTAAGCTGTAAATTATGTCTAGAGGACTTATTAGCCAGTATTCTTAATAATACAACAAAGGCGAGGCAGAGAATGTTAGCACTCTGTGTTCATTTCTGCAGCATGTCAGGTAATGATCTTACACTCCTAGAACAGGTACTATTAGTGCAACTAAGTGTTCATTGTTTGGTCCAAACCCTGTAACCACAAAATTTGTTCATAAGAACAAAAAACAGATGAAAATAATCTGTGGCTAGACATGAACTCTGCAAAGTTTTCCAGCTCCTTTTACCTACGATTTCAACTGGATGTTTGCTAATGGGCTGTGATTCACATGGTTGGAGGTAGAAGATCTTTCCAAGTTACAAGCATAGTCAAAAGATTTTCTGGTCCGTCTAAAACTACTGATATAGAATTACTTTCCTGACATTAATTTATATATTCCACTAACGTTATTCTGAAGAGAAGGTGGCACTGGTGTGATAAAGGAGAGAGGTACGTACACTGAAGGCCAAGCTTGCTCTAAAGGTGCAGTTTTGCACACCTCCTGACTCATGTTCAAAGGAATGTAGTCAAAAACATCATTAAGTTAGATTAGGCTGCACAAGAGCAAGGGGGATCTGTAACAACTACAGGGCAAAAGTGAAGAATTATTAAATAAGTGCATGTGAAAGTAGTGGATTTAGCACAAATCTTCAGCTAAATAATCTAATAGTATTAGAACAACAATTATTAATGGGATTCATGTATACAAGGAAAAAATTATTTCCCACAGGAACAAGGCAAACCAGTCCACATTGGAGCCTAAATTATATGATAGCTATCTACATTAAAAGCTTAAACCTAACATAATAAACACCTTATTATATCATAAACAGCAGTCTGACTGACTGTGGTGATCCCCTTGCAAAACTTCAGCTTAAGTCACCAGTCCACAATCACAGAAAAATTCTCACAGAGATCAGTTAAGTCTAGTTATATAAGTAAGTCCTGCATCATCTGGCTCTTAATATTACCTTTTGAAAGTATGATTTAAAGGATTTTGCCTGAAGTTCTTAGTTTCTGGGTTTTATGTGCTATTAAACATGTGGCCAGTCTCCCTGCAGACACCAAATTTGACTGATGAGATTTGTTTCTCTGGATGAGGTTTAACTAATTTTCATTAGTTCTCTAAAGTCTGTTGGGGTGTAAGTGTACCTATACATATGGGTATACACATATCAAGTATTTTGTCCAAATAGTTTTCCCACAGTTGAACAGATTTGGGATTGACTCTTAGGGCAGCAGACCATGTTAATGTAGCAAGTCCGTCTGTATTTGCTTATCTTACATGACCTTTTGTTCTGAGCAGTGAACAGATCAAATTGTTTCAAAACCAATTCTTTCAGAGAAAGTCAGTATTTTCACTTAAGGACATGGGCAGAAAGTTAAAACACTGAACAGGTTGCATGATTTTTTTTTCCTCCCCTGAGCTTTTTGCTCTTCTAGTGAACTTGAGTTTCTTCCAGATGGGAGAAGCAAATGACTTTGCTGTAGTTGATCTCTTCTGTTTCTCATGTGCTGTCCAGTGTGTCTGTATTTTAGTTTTACTTCACACCAGGATTGCTTTGAGAAGCAAATGTCTGGTTGTCCCCACATACCGTGCTTCAGTGTATAACAAGGGGCAGTCTTGGAGCATGTGAAGTGGATTGCTTTTGGCTGAAAGAAAATTCCCTCAAGAAGCACACTGATGTGCCCCAACCTCTAAGGGGCTTCAGTTTTCAGCACCAGGCTGGAACTGGTAAACATCAGGTTCTCTGCATCACATGTTTTGCACTGTCAACTCAGTTTTGTTAGTGTTAATCTTCGTAATGCAAATACGGCCTACTGATTTTTCCTCTTGCAATTTATCAGGACATTCCTGAAGTCTAGCGGATACAGGATACACTGTGATAAAGGTGCATTACTGAGAAGCAATTTGAAACAGAGCAGAAGATGCAGCTAACAAGTGTTTAGGACATGTTTAGTTGTGTACTTCTCAGGTCCTGGTGTTGATAGTGAAGCTGCAAGAAGTGTTAGACTCTTCATTGATTGATTGTGCCATGGTTCACGTGGTGCTCTGAGACCATATGATATCACTCCTGAGAGCCACAGCCTTCATCTGCTCTGGTGGTTCAGGTGACTGGTAACTGCCAGAACCCTGGATACACCCTTTTCAATTTAGTTCTTTCCTCCAGCTCTGTCCCTGACACCATCTCTTCCTTCAGCTTTGCTCCAACATCACCTTTGCTCCTGGTGGCTCCCCAGCATCCCTCACCCTCTAAAATAAATTGTATAAATTGCTGGGGTTAACCACACACCTGGGAAGTCCTAAAATAAATTGTATAAACCCTTGACAATTGCTGGGGTTAACCACACACCTGGGAAGTACCTCAATCTCAATGAGAAAGCTGTAGACCTTGTACATCTTATGTTCGTATGTGATGGAATTTCCTCTTTCAGCTTCATTTGTGAACTTCGTTCACATCTATAATAGTTAAGTGTTGCATAGATTAAATTTTGTGTGTAATGCTTATAAAATAATGCGCACTGCAATATACTTAGTTTCCCAGTTCCCACAGAAAATATTGTCAATCTAATAATTTATATGTGAAATTCTAATAATTTAGACTGAAAAAATACTGAATTTAGCAGTCTAGCTACAAGTTTGTCTGTGAGGAGCTTTAAAGGTTGATGGCATTTAATTATTGAACATAGGTTAAAGAGGGGTTGATTCCAACACAGAGATTTCTAACTTATCATAGAATCATAGAATCTTAGGGGCTGGAAGGGACCTCGAGAGATCATCTAGTCCAACCCCCCTGCCAGAGCAGGGTCACCTAGAGTACATCACACAGGAACTCATCCAGGTGGGTTTTGAATGTCTCCAGTGAAGGAGACTCCACAACCTCCCTGGGCAGTCTGTTCCAGTGCTCTGTCACTCTTACAGTAAAAAATTTTTTTCGGATATTCACCTTGAACCTCCTATGCTCCAATTTACACCCATTACCCCTTGTCCTATCACTGGTCATCACTGAGAAAAGCCTAACTCCGTCCCCCTGACACTCACCCCTTACATATTTGTAAACATTGATGAGGTCACCCCTCAGTCTCCTTTTCTCCAAGCTAAAGAGACCCAGCTCCCTCAGCCTTTCCTCATAAGGGAGATGTTCCACTCCCCTAATCATCTTCGTAGCTCTGCGCTGGACTCTTTCGAGCAGTTCCCTGTCCTTTTTGAACTGAGGGGCCCAAAACTGCACACAATCCTCCAGATGTGGCCTCACCAATGCAGAATAGAGGGGGAGGAGAACCTCTCTTGACCTACTAACCACACCCTTTCTAATGCACCCCAGGATGCCATTGGCCTTCTTGGCCACAAGGGCACATTGCTGGCTCATGGTCATCCTCCTGTCTACCAGGACCCCCAGGTCTCTTTCACCTACACTACTCTCCAGCAGTTCAGCCCCCAACCTGTACTGGGACATGGTGTTGTTCTTCCCCAAATGTAAAACTCTGCACTTCCCCTTGTTGAATTTCATCATGTTTCTCCCCGCCCAACTCACCAACCTATCTAAGTCTCTCTGAATGGCAGCACAGCCTTCTGGTGTGTCAGCCACTCCTCCCAGCTTAGTGTCATCAGCAAACTTGCTGAGGGTACATTCTATACCCTCATCCAGGTCGTTGATGAAGATGTTGAACAACACCGGTCCCAGCACCGACCCTTGTGGGACTCCACTAGTAACACACCTCCAACCAGATTCTACCCCATTGACTACAACTCTCTGACTCCTTCCTTTCAACCAGTTCCTAATCCACCTCACTTCCTGGTCACCAAACCCATACCTGATCAACTTATCC